ACGGTTCATATATGTTATGTTAAGAAAAATGGTACTTACTGTTCATAAGTAACGTTTTTAATATTTCGTGTTTCATAAAGCCAGATATAAAGAAAATCATTCTGTGTTAGGTTTTCTTGGAGATGTTTTTATAATTTTTAACATATTTTTTTTTTTACTATATTCTAATTAGCTGGTCTTACCGTTCTCGCTTCTTAGAATATTTCCAGGACTGATTTCCAAAGTATCTTTGCACCTTTGTATATCCATAAGTGGCGTCCTACAAAATCATCAAATGCACTGATAATTTTGGCATTGCATTACGTAAAACAGAATCTGATCTTATACGGCCAATTCACTATTTTCGAACAGTAACAGGGTTTAAATCAATATTTTAGCTCATTTTAATCAACGTTCCGACAATTTCGAAGAGATGCTATGTAATTTTAATTAAGTAAACTAAGAAGGCATACAAAACGAACGATCAACGTTGTAACTACAGTAGCATAGAAAATTAAATTACAAATATTTAAACCGGTTCTAAGCTCAGCTTTTTACTTGTTGTATTTTTAAAGTTTATATTGCACTACTGTTGATTACGGTCTATGTTTACAGTGTATGTATATGTACCAGTTCACGCTAGCATTTTGGGTTCCTGCTTTGCAAAGACAAGAAAGAATTTTTCTCCTTTTCTTTTCTTTGATGCAGGAGGTTGCTTTAGTTTTAATGCCGGCACAATCCGACGGTATCCGCTTCACTGACTGCTTCTCCACTCGGAAGACTACGCTTGGACCAGCTCCGGACGTTCCCGCTCAGGCTAAAGACGTTTTCATAGTTAACTGGTTACTGCTTGCTCGTGATAATCTCACAGTTGTTTAGCCACTTGTGCAGTTGCTTCTGCTTCAAATGAAATTTGCAGTTCTGTGGAATAATTAAATAAAACTTGAAGGAGTGTCAAAACCTAGCATTTCTATAGCTTATAATGAAGTCGGGAATATGGAATTTTTGTGAAAGACATTCGGTCTTTTTTGGAAATTTCATATGAACTTAGTTTTCAGCCTTTAGATTCCATGAAACGCTCACAAAAAGAAAGTCATTCTTAATAATTTTTAGAATTTTATAAGATTATTTTTAACTTAGATAATTATACATCTGAAGTTTTATTTGGTTTATCATAGATTAAAAATAGAATGCTGGTAGAGATTATACACTGTGACAGCTTTAAAAATCCTAATTATTTCAGAGTAGCAAATTTCAAAATTTTTACCAAGGTCTTGCATAACGATTCGACGTATTAGAAAACATTTACTTATCAAAAAGCAAGAATACGTGCAAACTACAACATCAGGCAGCATAAGCGTACATATTTAGAAACTAAAGCATAAAAATATTAGAGACACTTTAAAGTAACTAATTAATAATAACCTTATCGTATTAAACAAAAAAATCGTTTTCACTAACATTATGTAATGCTTTGAAAGCAGTGAGAAAGCTCAGCAGAAGATAAAGCCTATTTTATTGGACAATTTTAACGAAACATTGAATTTTCCGGCTACAAAACCTTTAAACAGCTGTTGCTCCAGAGCTGACTAGTTTATTTCCAGTGAATGGGCTATTCCACAATTTCACGCATGAAATGTTTTTAGAGAAACTTACTAAACCATTTAGAAAAACTCGTGGTTTTTCTATCTGTCAGCAATGCTCGAATTCAGAACTTAAAAAAAATGTTCAAGATTCTATTTAATGATTTATATACAAGCTTATGTATATGTGTTTTTAATGAATTTTTCATCGTTTAAACTTAAACATACAATATGTAGTTTGATGCATAGTTTTAAAGGTGACGGCTTCAAGGATATCAACAATTGTGTGAAATAAAAGATCCGGATATAACCAAAGTTAGGGGTAAAAAATTCTCAAATGAGTTTCCAATATGAATTAATGAGAAAATTTGACATTTTTTTTTATAGAGAAATTCACTATTAGTGGATATGTTATATGTCGAAACAAAAACATAATGTTTTTTTATTATTAAATTGTTGTAGAAATTGTCATAGATCTGTGATTTTTCTTTCGAGCGATAGTTTTAGTACGTATACCCAAAAGAATTAACTATGCAAATCACCAAGTCATGTGATAACCACAATCGATATAAAGTCACTGTGGAACGCCATGTATCAAAACTACATTTTAATACTGTTTAACGTTTAGTGGGTAATATGGTGCCACCGAAATCTTATAGCTTTTTTTTTATAACAGCCCTTTACGAGGCAAAATATTTATGTTTCAGATCTGAAAGATGTGTTCATCTTGTAGTTTTAAAATTTTCAAAACGGCGATATCCTCTGCAGGTAGGGGTGGTGTGCTTTTGACATGACAACCTTAGGATGGAGCTTTACTATGGTAACTATGCTGCAGAGCTATTGCCTAAATACACGGTCGTCAGTTAGAACATGACTGGACGTGGTGAAGCTCCAAAATTGCTTCAGTATAACATACTAAACCCTCTGTAAAATGTCTATGCACGAAATTTCAAAAAAACTTTTTAATATTCGATTTCATTGAATCACGATCTAGTTCAATTACAAATGAAAATTAATGAATATTTTCAAGTGTGTTTCCATAGACTCTATTTAAAAATATCCGGGACTATTCGTAGATTTGTAGAAAGTATATAATGGAAATTATTTCAATAAGGACCGTATTTGGCATGCCAATGTTCAAACGCCATTCTTACGCTGATAAGAACAGTGATACGCAGGGTGATTATAAACAAAGTTTTGTAGTTCATTGTATCATATCTCACACAGGGTATGGCATAAGAATGTGAAATTTCATGGGCGTGTTCAACACACCACGGGTATAGATATGCCACATTAGTTACTAGAGGTGCTACTAGGAACTGATGTCTGACCAATCACATCAACTGGTCAAAATGTGCTCCTCCAGCGTTTAGAATACATTGCATCCGTATGAGGATGGACATTATCGCGTCTAATCTGGTATGCTGGCCACTTTCTGGATACGCGCATGACTCACTTCAGGTACTCGTAGTGTCAACATGTAACAGCTGTGGAATTTGCATCCACATGGTTTCCTCAACATTGCTGTGCAAATTCTCCTTCTTGGGATACGCGCATGACTCACTTCAGGTACTCGTAGTGTCAACATGTAACATCTGTGGAATTTGCATCCACATGGTTTCCTCAACATTGCTGTGCAAATTCTCCTTCTTGTGCTTTACAGTTTGTGAGTTGAAATGCGAAACTTTCTTTGTGTTCGCTCTGTAGATGGGCCATAATTCTTTAATACTTTTTTAGCTGTCTTGTCAATATATGAGTGTTCTGATCACATGGTATAAGATGATTAGTTAAATGAAATCTATCATTATTCGTTACTTTTATCTTCAGTTAATCATGATTTATAATCAGTAAGCCAATCAAATGATTTGTATTAATACTATTCATTACATAAAATAACAAAGAATATGTAAATTTCGGTAAAATTTTCAGAACTTTACTAAAATACCATTTTATAAAGACCTTCACCTAATATTGAGTTGTATTAACTTTCGTTACGATAATGGCCTGGATTCGGCGTAGCATATACTCCACTATATGTCAGGAAGTGTCTTGTTTAATTGCAGAGGAGATTGTGGTAGCAAGTACAACGTTTGAGTTTGTATCAACAATGTTCAATCGAAATGAGATCCGGAGATTGTATTTCCTAGGGAAGACGACACAAGTCAGTATCAGTATTGTCTTGGAATAGATCTTCTCCATCAGGGTGGAAATTCAGCATGGGCGACCATATTCATTCAGGTACACTCTGGATGTTATTCTCCTCTATAGAAGAATCAAAAGACCTATATCCTGCCATGAAAACTGTTTCCAAACTATTAAAGCATTTTTTGCATCTCTCCTTTCAGAATAACACAAGCCGCGTCAAGATCTTTCTTGTAGTAATATTATTGACAGACTCTTACAGGAGAAGTCTTTGAACAGCCAGTCAAGAAACATCATTTGATAAAGACGTTCCTGCTAGAAGGACGCACATCCGTTATGGTGTGCGTCCTTCTAGCAGGAACGTCTTTTTAAGGGCGTTATGATGTGCATCCTTCTAGCAGGAACGTCTTTTTAAGGGCGTTATCTCTTAAAAAGACGTTCCTGCTAGAAGGACGCACACCATAACGCCCTTAAAGATCGAAGATATCTTTGTTTTTATCCATCTTCTTGACTAATAGGCATATTACACAATCATTCTACTTTACATACATAAATAAATTTAAAATGTTTCCAAATCTGTCTTTGAGAGTCTTAATAAGATTGCCTTTAATGTATTTCAAAAGCTAAATAAAACAAAATAGTACTCATTTTGGGATATCTTAAACTGTTTCCACATTGTCTGTAGAGTGTGTAAAATAACAGAAAATATCGAACTTTCCAGACACTTCCGAACTCATGCAATTTCATGATGCAGGATGGTATAACACTTTCACTTATTCCAAAGTAACATCATTCATAACTACATGACATGCACAATAACTGATATCTTATAAATAATAAAACCATAATAAAAGATATAGATCATAACGAATGCTATAGCAATAGTTGGTGAAATGATGAAAGAAACATGTGGTTTTATTAAAGCTGTTTACGAAAATTATTGTGGAACAAATAATCCATGGATTCTTATTTATAAAATCGTCCTAAGCTAATGTTGCTAATATTTTATGCTGAGGAATATGAATATTAATTAATAGATGTTCCACAGTTAAAATATTTTATTCAGCATTAAAGATTTTTGAATGGTGCGCTGCTTTCCGTCTGTATTATGTACAGCTAAAAGTAATACAATGTCTAATTTCTAATTGAAAGTTATTAATTGGCGTGTCTAAATATTTCATAGCTTTATGTATATTTTGCAAGAGCACAGTTTTCAATTGTACTTTGAAGGTTATAATATAGGTAGAGATGATCCATAGTCGTATGTATATAATTGAATTTCACGACAACCGAAAATTCACAAGAATTAAACTGGCCATCTTTATTGCATTCTTTTATTACTCAAATAGTCAACGATAGTTTTATTTTATATTTTACTATACAAAGGTACACTGATATACGAAGCTTCAAACTTCCATCACTATATCGTATTAATATTTGTCAACCGTGAGATAACTTCAGCCCATTTATTCAGATTGATTAAATCTTTACTTGAAACAGATTCAAGTCTTAGACCACACAGTTCCGCATTGTTAACTCAACCACACACAACATCCACAGCTCGATCAAATTCTGTTTCTTGGAAAAAAAAAAAAAAGATAGAAAATCCAACCCCCAAAATATCACATCTTCAACATTGTTTCAAAGTAAATATTCAAATATTTTAAATATAAGCGTAAAAGATTGCACCAGAAAAAAGAAGACCTTGCAAACCGTAATAGTGAATTCCGGAGCTTTATAGTTTTTGAGTCATTTATAATCTTACATTATAGAAGTAAAGAAGATAGCTTAATTATATTTCTACAGCGTTAGTTAATGGTATAATATTATTATTATATACTTAACGAAAAAAGTTTTAGAAACACAAGCAGTTTAGAAAAAAAAAGAGCAGAAGTACCTTTCTTATAAAATCTGTTTCGAGTGTTGAAAATGAAGTCAGGAAACTCTGTTATAAATAAACTGGTATTTTGATTCACTTTATTCATATCATTGTTAAACTGTCTTCGCCCTTATTACTAAGAGTCTTGTTAGCTGTTTACTTTGTTCTGTACAGCTCCAAGTGCTAATCTTTCTACATTTCAACTCGATTTCATATTTTACAGTTAACTTAAGTTACAAACTACATGCTTAAAAAGAAAAAAATCATATCGTGCAAGGAGTGGGATTAGTACACAGATTTCTCTGAAGCAACACCACTCTTTATACTACAGGACATAAAAAATACACTCATGGAAACACATCATCTCACGTACTTCTGAAGAGATAGAACTGTCTCATTGAGCTTTAAGAAATCAGAAGAAAAAGACATCATCAAGAAGCTATTCTAAACGAAGATTCTATACATGTTGAGTAGTGGATTTTTCATTGTAAGACCTCTTCTGAACATGTGTGGGCGGGAGTTTCTGGTTTTCGAAGTCTTGATATCCTATGGTATGCCAGACTACTTCCAACAAAGAAGTGGAGTTAAATTTTACCGAATAATAAGGTTGATTTCGATGTTTTAAATATTCTTTTAGCGTTGGTGCGCACACCAATTTCAATAGTTTAAGGATGCCATATTTGTAGAATTTGTTTCAATGAGTGAGTGATATTGCATTGCATAAACTGTCATAGTGCGTAAAATGGTGGAAGTTATGCAATATCTTATTTACGCTCTTCATAAATATTTTAGGTCACGTGGGATTTGGCTGGATACATAACGTTTTGACACTCATCACGTGTAGCTACGGAAAAATGAATTACAGGTAATTACATGGTTTCCTTCGGAACTAGGAACGAAGATCACGGATTGTCTGCTGCTGGTATAAACTGTATCCGTTATAACCGATTTTTATTAAGCTCTGCATATTGCAGTATATATATCCCACAGCGATGTTGGCGTTAGCTACACTTCCTCGTGCAACGGAAAATAATGACTGACATGAACGCATAACCTCCCAGCGTTGAAAAAAATCGACTCTCATACATATTTAGCTAGCGGTCTTGAATGCGCGTAGACTTTGCATCTCATGTTGGTTTTCCTTTGTGCATTTCAATTATCTTGTCTTGATCTACGTACTGAAAAATGTGGGGTGCATCCAGGAGTATGCCTATAGTTCCGGCTGTTGTCACGGCAAAGAATATGTACAACTGAAGACGGTCTATTACCATAGCAACGAATTTCCAGTCTTCCCGGATCTGAAACAAGATATTACAAGAAGAAATCGTTATAAAGATTAGACTGAAAGCTCAAAATGACTATTTATCAAAAACAAAATAATTGAAGTGTTAGTTTTATACAGCATGTTTTTAATATAACACAGCATTCATAAAAGTTAACGTTATTACAAAAGTAAATACAGTATTCATTTTGTCAATAAAATATGTCCTGTTTGAAAAAGCTTTCTAGTAATGCTAAAATAAATAACTAAATACGAAGCCCGGTCTACCATTCGATTTTTCACCTGTTACTGAGTTATACCGATTTCGGTCCGGCATGGCCAGGTGGTTAGGGCACTCGACTCGCAATCTGCGGGTCGCGGGTTCGAATCCCCGTCCCACCTAAAACATGCTCGCCCTTTCATCCGTGGGGGCTTATAATGTGAC